ATAATTATGCTATTCCTTCTGCCTAAGTGCTTCATTTTTCTCTCATTTTCTTTGTATGTAAATCCTAAATTGTTTTTCTTAAGTAGCTCTGGTGGTGTAGAGTCTCAGGCATTTGACTGCTAACCAGAAGGTTGGTGGTTCAAACCTACCAGCCACTCCACGGAAGGAAGACTGAGCGATCTACTTCCATAAAGATTTACTGCCTCAGAAACCCTAAGGGAGTCGCTACAAGTTGGAATCAACTCGATGCCATTGTTTTTTGGTTTTAAATTGTTTCTAAGATCCAACTCAAATGAGGCTTAACAAGATTTAATAGATCTCTCCTTTGAACTCACAGAGCATTTTTTATTTTTCCTGTGCCACTTACTTTCTGTCTAGTAGTAACACCTCACATTCCATGAAGCCTAGCAAGGTGCCTGACATATAGTTGTTGAATAAACAAATAAGCCATTTATTTATACGCCTCACTGCAGCTAATACATGAGACAGATGGCAGAGGTTAGATTTAATAAATTTGTCCTCTAAATAAAATATTTTTCATTGTAAAGATTATTGTCACTCAAGGCAATTCATCACATAAACTTGATCTCATTAGCCAGTTCTCTTTCACATGTTCAGACTAGTACAAAGTCTGCCAACCAGAAGTGTAAAGAGGTTAAAACACTTCGAACTATGCCAAAGTGTTAGTTAAAAGTTAGTTTAAAGTTAGGCTTGACGGTGATTATAGAGGTACTTAATCAGATTGCATAATTGATGCATTTGAATTGTGGTGTTGGCAAAGAATACTGAATGTACCGGTAGACTGCTGGAATAATGAACAAAGCTGTCTCAAAAGAAGTAAAGCTGGAATTACTCCGTAGAAGAAGAATGGCCAGACTTGTCTCTAGTACTTTGGTCATATTGTCAGAAGGAATCAGAGCCTGGAGAAGGATATCATGCTGTGTGAATGAGAGATCAGCAAAAAGAACAAGACCTTCAACAAGATGGATCGATACAGTGGTTTCAGTGGTGGGCTCAAGCATGGCAATAATTATGAGGATGGCACAGGACTGGGCAGTATTCCATTCTGTTGTACACAGGGAAACTATGAGTCAGAACTGACTCAACGGAACCTAACAACATCATTGTCGTATAGTGACTTTTCTGAACACCCAGTATAGTACTCAGAATAAAGGAATTGCCAATGCAAATATAGCCATCTCACTATTTTCCTCTGTTTTTTAATACATTTTTTTATGGATCATAATGTAGAAGGATAGTTTGATTATAAAATGTCCATACTGAAATAACTTAGTGTGGATAATTATTTAACACAATAACAAGTTAAATATGTTATCTATAAATTGGATTAGACAGTAACTAAAGTTTGTCATTGGGGGAATTTCAGAGAGAGCCCTGGAAGTGCAAAGTTTAAACACTCTACTGCCAATTGAAAAGTTACTGGTTCAACAGACACTTCATGAAAGAAGATATTCATGCAAGCAACAAACACATGAAGAAATGTGTGCAATCATTAGCCATTGGTGAGATGCAAATCAAAACAATAATGATATACCATCTCACCCCAGCACAAATAGTAAAGTTCAACAAGATAGAAAATAACAAATACTGGTGAGGATGTGGAGAGATTGGGACTCTCATACACTACTGTTGGGACTGTGAAATGATACAAACACTGTGGAAATTGGCATGGTGGTTACTTAAAAATTTGGAAATAGGAATACTATTTGATCCAGTAATCCTATTACTAAGTACATATCATAAAAAAATGAGAGCCAAGACACAGATAGATATATGCATACCCATGTTCATCACAGCACTATTCACAACAGCAAAAATGGGGTGTCCATCAACCAAGGAATGGATAAACAAATGGCGGTACATACACACAATGGAATACTAGGCAACACTAAAGAATAATGTAGAATCTGCAGAACACTGCATAACATGGATGAACTTGGCAGACATTATGCTGAGTGAAATAAGTCAATCACAAAAGGCCTAATATTGTATTAGTCCACTTGTAAAAGGTCAGGGAAAGGTTTATATATAGAAGGAAATTTTCTTTGTTGGTTACCAGGGATGGGAGAAGATGGGAGGGAAAATTTCTAGATAGGTTGAAAAAATATATAAAGATATATATATGCCAAAGATTGTTATCAGTTACCAGGAGTAGGAAGGAGAGGGAAAGGGGAAGATTTTGTTTGTGGTGACTTGAGTTTATGCTAATAGTGGTATAATATTTTGGAAAATGTGGCTCAACATCGAAAATGTCATCAATGTCCCTGAGCTGTAAATGTGGAAGTTGTTATGTTGGTGAATGTCTTCCTGTGTATGTTTTCACCAAATGAAAGCAAAAAGAAAAGTTACTGTTTCAAATATACCAGCCACCCTCTAGGAGGAAGATGTGGCAGTCTGTTTCTGTAAACCAGCCTTGGAAATACTACTGTGTTCTACTCTGTCCTATAGGGTCACTATGTTTCAGAAAAAACTTGACAGTAATGAATTTTGATTTTGGAGTTTCTTTTAATAGAAGATGTGAGGAAAATTTAGAATGTAAAAACGTAATGAGGTTTTAGTTCACTTTTCCATTCATTTGTCTATCCTGGGACAAAAATCTTACCTATTTTGTCTTTAGTGATTGCAAGTTTAGAAGAAAAGAGCCTAGGCTTGCATAATAGCAGTAAGAAGTGATGCCTATTTTTATTGTCTTGAAACATTCTTGAGAAATGATCATCTATTTTTCTTTTTAGGTAAAGTGTATTTATAGTGGATATGTTAAAGGTCATATGATTAAAAATGAAACTTTTCTATGATTAGTAATCAAACCTTTAAAATTACAAGATTCAATGAAATGTATTCCTGTCTAAGAAAGTCAAGCACAATCTACCCAGCAGTCTTGAGTATAATCCTGCAGTTACCTTTTATCTGTTCTGAAACCAGAATTCAGAAGTGTGCCATTCAGTGTGGATAACCTTACAGCCTCTACAAAATAGTGATCACTCCATAATTAGCAATTGCTCTGATGGTAGTGCTGATTTAAAAAAAAAAAAAAAGTTTGGCAGCAGAATCCCAGGCAGTCCCAAGAGATCCTCTAGTCACTTATTCTCTTGATACTGCCATTCCCATTGCCACTGGACTTAATGCTGCAGTTGTTGTTGTCGCTATGTGCCATGGAGTCAGACCTGACTCACAGAGACCCGTCCTTGGGTTTCCTAGGTGGTATCACTATGGAGGAAGATTGCCCAACCTTCCTTCCGAAGAGTGGCTAGGTAAGCTCAAAGATCAGGTGGTTGTGGTTGAGCCCCTGACTCCAGTCTCCACCAGTACATGTAGGTCAGGTTCCTCTCTCTCTTTCTGAAAAGTTCTTTCCAGGCATTTAGGAGAGAGCTTAGTGGTAATTCCTTCCTTGATCCTACCTAGTGTGTAGTACTCAGCCAAACCTGCTTCACTGCAGCTATTTTTAATCATGACCCAGCTCTTCCAACCTTGTTTCTAGGAGAATCTACTTGGGACAGGAGCTCTGGTAGTGTAGTGCCTAAAGCATTTGACTGCTAACCAGAAAGCTGGTGGTTCAAACCCACCAGTCACTCCTCAGAAGGAAGACTGGAGTGATCTATTTCCACAGTGATACCACCGTGGAAACTCAAGGAGGGGTTACTATGTGTCGGATCCAATTGGATGGCAGTGAGTTTTTTTTTTTTTTTTTTGAGATCCCTTGTTTGCTGTTTCGTGGACTTGGAGCTTCTGCTTCCTTTATCAGACAGCTTGACTAGATTCAGAGAACAGGCCAAGCTTCCTCTCTCTAACACCAAGTCATTCTGCAGCAAACAACTCATTAATAAGGTGATGTTCATGTTTCACTGTATCATTGCAACCTTCCGCCTTTCATTTGAAGAGTTTCTCACTCAAAGAGAACAAAGGATTAAATTTTGCTTTTCTTAGATGTCTCTCCTACAGAAATAAGAACTTTTATTCTATTAAAAGCTGCTGACTTATTATAAAGTACATTAGTTAATTCTCTCCTGAATTCACTGAAAGTTTGTGCAAGTGTTTCCTCCTCCACGAGTATTCTGTGTGGATTTTCTTTGTATTCTGATTTTTCCTGAATTGAAAACACTCCTTTTTAAATACCATTCTGTCTATCTTGGGTCTTGGAATGTAACAGAAGATACTTCAAACTAAAATATTTAACAATCAAATCAAGATGTTATCAACTCTGGTAGGATCTCTCCAGATGCTATAGTTTAGATTATTTTATAATCAATAACAATGTAAATTTTTAAGAGTTTAGAAAATTGTGAGAGAAGGAGAGGGAAAACTGATGGAGTGGAACAAAAATGAAAATCACTGAAATATCCCAGTAGTTGACCATCCCAAGAAAAGAATGTACACTTACACCTCACTTATCAACTATCTTGTTATCTGATAATCCATATTTACAACACTATTTAACAATCTATTATCTGATTATTTTGCACATTAATGACATATGTCTGGCAGTAACAAATTATCAGGTGAAAGGATAGAGTAATGCTCACTATGATGGTTAAGGTTATGTGCCAACTTGTCTAGTTAAGCAATAACTTCAGTAGCTAGGCAGCTATGTAATGCTATAACCTGGCAGTTATGTAATGATTTTGTCAGTCTCCATTTTGTGATCTAATGTGGTCATACTCCATTTTTTTTATAACACCAATTTTCACATAACAACCTGGTCTTTGGAACATAACCATGATGATAACTGAGGAGTGGGTATATATGCATGTTCTTTAAAATTTCTACACTTCATGCCATAATGCTGAGTGTTCCACCTGAATAGACTTCAGTAGACTTTTGTGAAATGGAATTGGATGATGCATAGATCAGTTGGTAGAGTTAGATGACATTGTTTGTTCTTTTCATCCTATATGACCCGTGTTAGTGTTTATTATTATTATTACTTCATATATTTTAATGTCCTTTTTACTTTCTTAATATTTTTATTATGTTTTGCCTAGTTGGATACACAATGAATGATCTCATTTTTGAATGGCAAGATGAGGCCCCTGTACAAGTGGCAGAAGGACTTACATTGCCTCAATTTCTGTTGAAAGAAGAGAAAGATTTACGATATTGCACTAAACATTACAATACAGGTAGGAATTTTAATGATTCATTACAATTATGAATCATGGTTTTATAATATTCAGATGTTTCTTCATCACAAGGATAGGCTAATTATTTTACTGTTCACAGCTCATTGTTTTCCATAATCATAGAGAAGAAAATAATATATTTTAAATGTATGGAAGCTTCAATTCATTGTATATTATATATGTGGTTCGTAAGAGACCAAAGAAGGATGTAAATCATTCTTTGTAAAAAGACCATAGTTATATAGTAATGCTGTAAAAAAAAACTAAATGAAAAATAAGATGAATTTTTTTAAAACACTCCTTGGGCAGTAAAAATTATGTTTGCTAGCATAAGTAAAGGAGCTCTGGTAGCATAGTGCCTCAGGCGCTTGACTGCTAACCAGAAGGCTGGCAGTTCAAACCTACCAGCCACTCCTCGGAAGGAAGGTTGAGCAATCTACTTCTGTAGTGGTACTGCCTCAGAAACCCAAGGAGGGGTTACTATGAGTTGGATTCAACTCGACGGCACATAACAACAACAACAGCATAAGTAAAAGAAAAATATATTTTTGTAAAGCGTCACTTGCCTAAATTTTCCTTTTGACTAAATTTTCATTCATTTCAAGTTATCTTTAAGTGTCTACTACTCACATAAAGGATGCATCTTAGGAAGCGCTCATTCATCTATGCCAAGAAATTTGGAAGACAGCTAACAGGCCAGCCAACTGCAAAAGATCCATAATTGTGCCCATTCCAAAGAAAGAAGATCCAACGGAATGCAGAAATTATCGAACAATAAGATCTTGCTGAAGATAATTTAAAATGATTGTAGCAGGACTTTGACAGGTAGCTGTCAAAGATATATTTAGAAGAGGATGTTTAATGAGGGATATCATTACTGATGTCAGATGGATCTTGACTGAAAGCAGAGACTACCAGAGTGACGTTTACCTGTGTTTTATTGACTATACGGGACATTTGACTGGTTGGATCATAACAAATTATGGATAGCATTTCAAAGAACGGAAATTCCAGAGCACCTAATTTTGATCAAGGAGAACCTGCACATAGACCCAAGAAGCAGTTGTTTGAAAAGAAAAAGGGAATGCTGTGTGGTTTAAATCAGGAAAGATGTGCATCATGAGTGTATTCCTCCACCATACTTATTCAATCTGTATGTTGAGTGAATTATCCCAGAAACTGGACTACAGAACACACATCAAGATTGGAGGAAGACCCATTATCAACCAGAGATATGCATATGACACAACCCTGCTTACTGAAAGTAAAGAGTACTCAAAGCACTTACTGATGGCAATCAAAGACTACAGCCTTCAGCATGGATTACAGCTCAAAATGAAGAAAACAAAACTCCTCATCAATAAGCAGCATTATGATAAATAGAAAACATATTCAAACTGGCAAGGATTTCATTTTACTTGGAACCATAGTCAATGGCCATGGAAGAAGAGTCAAGAAATCAAACAATGGCATTTGGCATTGGGCAAATCTGTTACAAAAGACTCCTTTAAAGTTTAAAAAGCAAAAATTTTACCTTGATGACTATGGTATGCCTGATCTAAGCCATGAGCTTTTCAATCACCTCATATGTGTAAGAAAGATGAAAAATGAATAAGGAAGACTGAAGAATTAATGAATTTGTATTATGATGTTGGTGAAAAATATGGAGTATCCCTTGGACTGCCAGAAGAATGAGCAGATCTGTCTTGGAATAAATAAATCCAGAATGTTCATTAAAGGCAAATATGGTGAGACTTCATCTCACATACTTTGGATATCATTAGGAGAACCTGTGCTTTAGAGAAGGACATGTTTGATAAAGTAGAGCATCAGCAAAAAAAGAGGAAGCCTTCAACAATGGGCTCAAACATAGAAATGACTGAGGATTTTGCAGGACTAG